AGTTTTCATGCCTAAGGTGGGACTAGAACTCACCATCCCCTGACGATTGGTCCAAAGTCACCTAACTGGCTTTCATAACTAAGGCAGAACTCAACTTGGTGAACATCCATAATTTTGTTCTTCCTCCTCTTTTCCCCACAACAACCCTGTGAGGTAGGTTGGTCTAAGACAGAACTATCTTAAAGTCACCCAGCTGGTTGTTTTCATGCCAAAGGCAGGACTAGAACTCACCGTTTCCTTGTGATTGGCCCCAAATCACCCAGGCAGCTTTCATAGCTAAGGCAGAATTTGAACTCACAATTTCTTGCTTTCTAGCCTGGTGCCTTAATTACTCATCTGTTTTTCAGGGCTGTATCCTTATTTTTTTTAAAAAAAAAAAACTCACATTTTTGTTTGCAACCTGACATCTGGCCAACGTAATATAAACGCAAACTGATTGCGTGCCTTGGCGATGATTTCAGACATCCGAACTGAGCCGTGGTTTTTTGAAATCAATTGGTCCCGTTTTCTTTATCTTTTGAAAGGGTCAAAAATGGATCCTTCCTTCTGGCCCTGATGACAGCACTTAGTTCGGTAATGAAACGTCTGCAAAAAAGAACCCCAACCAAACTCGAAGAGAACACCAGGGCCCCCACGTTCTTTACTTGCCCCAGTTTTTCTGACTATTATTCAGGAATGTGAACGAACTGTTAATAATGGCATTAGAAGTTAATTCTTCTAAGTTACTAGCTTTTAGTGTTTTCCCCCCTTTAATTTGTTCTCACCAACTTTAAAATAGTTAAACAGCACTCTTAAATGTGGGGGTGGTCTCTCGATCCATTGCCAGCCTAAACAGGTCGAGCTTGTGTTCAACAACAACAACAAATTGTATGCCTATAATAGGAAGGGAGAAATAAATACGGCAGAAGCACAGGAGTACTCGCCAGGGGGTGTTAGCACAAAAAGAGCAATTTTAAGAACAACAGAAGTTGGACCCTATCGGAATAAAACCCTGGCTTGCCTCCTCCAGCAGTTTGTTATCCTGTTATCCAATAAACTGGCCAAGAAAGGAAGCCCAGCAGATGGTCTCCAAAGGAGAAGAGGAGAAGGAAGGAAGAGAAAGAGAGGAGGACGAAGGGAGGAAGGGGAGGAGAAGGGAGGAAGGAAGAGGAGAAGAAAGGAAAGGAAGTAAATAGATAGGGAAGGAAAGGGGGAAGGAGGGACAGGGAGGAAAGGAGAGAGGGAGGACAAATAAATAGATGAGAAGGGGAAGGGTGGAAATTGAACGAGGAACAGAGGGAAGAAAATGAAGGAGATACTGAGAAAAAGGGAAAGAGGGAAGGAAGTAAATAGATAAGGGAAGGGGTGGAAAGGGGGAAGGAGGGACAGGGAGGAAAGAAGGGGAAGGGAGAAAATTGAAGGAGGGAGGAAGAAAATGGAGATGCTGAAAATGAGGGAAGGAACGGTGGGGAAGGGAAGGGAAGAAGAGAGGGGAGGGAGGACGGGAGCAGAAGAGGAGGAGTTCTTGACTTATGACCACAACTAAACTCAAAATTTCCACTGCTAAACAAGGAAAGAAAAAAGAGAAGGAAAGGGAGGGAGGAAAGAAGGGGAGGGGAAGGAAGGAGAAAAAAGGGAGGGAAGGAGAAGGGGAGAAGGAAGAAGGGAGGGAGGAAAGGAGGGAGGGGAGAATAGGTAAGGAAAAAGGAAGGAGCAGGAGAGGCAGAGAGGAAAATGAGGAGAAGGAAGACGGGGGAAAGGAAGGAAGAGAAGAAAGGTGAAGAGGGGATGAAGGAAAGAAGGAAGGGGAGAGGAAAGAAGGAAGAGAAGGAATGGTGGAACGAAGAGAAAGGGAGGGAGGAAGAGAAGTGCCTGTGGCCAAGCTGGCAGTTCGCACCTCATTTCATGTTCAAAAATTTAACAAGGATAGGAGCAAAACCAGGGTAGTGTTTACATGCATCTGTTTTCCATCATGTACCTGTGTGTGATGTGTATTTTTACACTGATATGTTGGAGGTTATAACAAAAATTGTATGGTGATATAATACCAAGTGCTTTTACCCTGGGGGATAAATGTTCCTGCAGAGGAACAAGGCTTTAGTCATTCAAACCAGGATTGCCAACCAACACATTTAACCTGGTTCCAGCACTACCTTGTTCCCCGGATGAGCAAAGTAAGTTTAAGAAAGAGAAGAAGAAAACCTGCATGAAGTTTTTTCTTAGTCTTACCGTGTTTCTCAATGTCGGCCATTTTAAGATAGGTGGACTTCAACTTCCAGAATTCCTCAGCCAGCCATGCTGGCTGGGGAATTCTGGGAGTTGAAGTCCACACATCTTAAAATGGCCGACATTGAGAAACATGGTTTAAAGATGGTTGCCTCTTATGATACAGGCAAGCTATGGACAAAATTTTTCTGATCTGATACATTTCAAGCTCAAAATGTAGCATTTTAGGCCCGAGATAGCCATTCTGACCCTACTGTAAATATTCAAAACCCCGCCCCCCTCCCCTGACTCAAAATAGGGCTGTTTCAAACATTTCTAGCAGCGTAGATGCAACTGTATACAGGCAAGTCTTCGTCTTGCAACCCCAATTAAGCCCAAAATTCCCACTGCTAAGTGAGACAGTTGTTAAGTGAGGGTTTTTTTCCCCCATTGGACGAACTTTCTTGGCATGGTTGTTCGGTGAATCACTGCCATTGTTAAGTGACTCATACGGTTGTTAAGCGAATCTGGCATCCCCATTGTCCGGAGGTCGCAAAAGGGGATTCACGTGACCCTGGGACACTGCGACCGTCGTAAATATGAGTCAGTTGCCAAGCGTGTGGATTTTGATCATGCGACCACGGGGATGATGCCATGTGACAAAAGGTTGTAAGTCACTTTTTTCAGTGCCGTTGAAATGTTACTAAACAAATTGTTAATATCCAGAGTAATGTTTTGGCCTCCTCCTCCTCCTCCTCCTTCTCACGTCCTATCAATTTGTTTCCACCGCCAAAGTTTGGAAAAGATTTCTGTTCTCTGCCCCAAAAACACAGCCTTGAGGGAACAATGCTCTATCTTTCCAAAGATGAATGGAAATAAGGACTCCATATAGCCAGGGTGTCAAACTCATTTCATAGTGGGCGGAATCAGGGTTGTGGTTGACTTCAAGGGGGGCAGGGGGCGTGGCCAACTGGGTGGGTATGGCCAACTGGGCAGGCATGAAGTTGCGGCCTACCGGAGGCTAGCAGAGCTGGCAGCAGAGTCGGACAGTGAGGAGGTTGGGCAGGTACCTGGGCCAGTCATGGAGGCTGAGGAAGGCTCTGACGAGGGCTCTGCATTGGAGGCAGAGATGGGGCTGTGGCCGTCTGACAGTTATCAGCTGCCTTCGGAGTTGGAGATTAGTGAGGCAGAAGAACAGCTGAAGCCTGTTCCAAGTGTGCACATGCACAGAGCCGCCAGAAGAAGGGAACAGCTAAGGAACAAGGGTCGACTCAGGAGTAAAGGCACAGGTGGACAGTGAATGCCCCCCACCCCCACAGGGAATAAATAGAAGCAAAAGGGGAGGGGGCTTTTGCAGGAAACAATTTGTTCATTGAAGCAGTGTGAAGATCTGTCTGTGCATCTCAGAGACTCTGTGCCGAGCCCTTCCTTGTCAGCACTGCGTTTGGAAATATTTACTTGGCAGCTCTCCCAGTTAGATAAGGTGTGTGTGTTCCTAATTACATTCTTGAAAGACTGTTTGCCAAGCCGTTGGCTGAAAGGGACTGCCAAGAAATTCACCTTCGTTTAATAAAAGGGGTTTTGCAGGGGCAAAGAGTCTGCTTAATGCTTTTGGGGGAAGCCGAGGGCAGAATACATGGCCAACTGGGTGGACGGGGCCAGCCTGACGCCATTCCACAAACTGCTGGCATTACTCTTCGTATTGTGTAGACTGGGCTGAAGCTACGCTGGCCTGATCTTTCCTCTTCGCATTGGGTAGACCAGGATGGCCCTGCGGGCCGGATCCAACCCCATCACCGGCTACATCCAGTCCGTGGGCCTTGAGTTTGACACCCCTGCTATATAACATGGGACAATTTGTCATGGCCAATTCACCACAGCTAACTCGCCACGGAACAACTTGCCACAGCCAATTCGCTGCAGGATAACTCGACGGGATAACTCAACGCCACGGTTTCCTCAACGCTGTTTTAATTGCTCTCATTCTTATTTCATTGTGTCCCTCCTTTAACATCCTTCCTTTAATCATTCCATTCCACCATTTCTTTGCTATTAGTGTAACCGCTGTCCTGAGTGAATTGGCTGGGATAAGTTGGCCGTGGCAAGCTGGACGCGGCGAGTTGGGCCATGTCGCATTGTGCTAGACCTCACTCTGTACAAAAATGTGGCAGCCTCAGAGACAGATGAAAAATCCTTTCCTATGGATCTTTCCTGTCGGGCCTGGCTTGGGCCCCATTGTGGAGGTAGCTGCCACTGAATTTGGCTACCGACAAGAAACCCGGCCTGTTGGCGGTGCAAGGAAATTGGCCTCTCCTGCGTGATCCTGATTTGCCAATCCAACAATCCAACAGACCAGAATTAGAACTGCGAGGCAAGAAAGGATCTGTTGTGGCTTGTCGGCCGCCTGTCCCTCCAGCAGCCGAATCAAAGGAGGAGGTGGCATGGGAGTCAGGACCAGCATCGAGGCAAACTGAGAGCTCCGAGGGGGGGATGGAGCTGTCAGAGAGAGGGGGGGGAGGGAGGGAGGGATGGAGGGATGGAGGCGGAGCCTGGGCCATCTGTCAGCCCTCAAATGGAGTCAGCAGCAGGTCTGGAGGTGGCTGATGAGGAAGAAGAACAGCTGGGTCTTGACATGTGGATGCTCAGAAGACAGAGGAGAGGAGAGCAGTGGAAATCTATGGGCCGGACCTCGGGACGGAAGAGCCACTGCTGCTAGCGAAGCCCCACCTTAGCTCTGGGGATCAAAGGCAGGGGGCGGAGATGAAGAGGTGTGTCAGCCACTGATAACCTGTTGTGTGTGAGAGAGTAACGTTTTGCCTAGGCAAAAAGGAATCATCAATTTAACTACAGAGGGTTTGTTGTGTTTGGAAGCCGGGTCAGAACAGAATCTTACGAGAATCCTTTCAGATCAGAACAGCCGGTTCGGTCCATCCTCAGTAAGTTCTGATTCATCAAATCACTGCCTCAATTTTCCTTCCTTTCTCTGCTTGAATATCTGCAAAGTCAGAAAAAAATCAAGATGGCAGCGGAAATGCCACTGTTGAAGTTTCATTGATTTTTACATGTGTCACACACACGGAGCACCAAACATCTTCTTAAATCTTATCTTCTTCAGCTCGTCTTCTTGAATCACGATCCGGTTACCCGCCTCAAAAGATGGTACCTGTTCCGAAATGACTTTGACGTCAGCCAAGTTTTCCATATTGTGCATCGAAAGAAAACTTGGAAGGTTACAAAAAAAAATGTTAAAAACGCAACATTCTGCAGTATTGTCTATTTGAACCAAGAATCTTCCCACAATTTGGGGAAAAGAGGATTCCATGTCTCTCCAGCGTCCATTATTTTGCTGGGCATGGTTATCCTTACAAACAAGAAACACAAGAATGTTAAGATGTACTTTTAAGAAAAAACAAACGGGATGCTGAAACTTTCCAGGAGCAATCCCTCAGCACTTTCGGTGAAGTCAAGGTGGTCATCAAGATGTCCAAATAAGACTATCCATATTTCACCAGCAGTAAACTGGTACAACGGAGAACATATGGAAGAAAGTTTAGGACACGGATGTCAAACTCGCCACGTCATGTTGCCGTCGTGTGACGTTTCACGACATTTTTTCCCTTCGCGGAGCTGGGGTGGACGTGACCTGCGCATGACGCATCCAGCCCGCAGGCTGCCAGTTTGACACCCCTGAAGGTGGAAAGGGTGGCAGGCAATTTTTTAAGGTGAGGAAGTGAAAAGATCAGGGCACATTCTGATGAGGGACGATCAACGAAAGACATGTAGATCAGTCTGCATGGTGCTCTTTAACCGTTCTTTGCCCAAAACCGCCAACTGAAGATCTCAGGGCAAAAGGACGGATTTGCTGAATTCTCACGGCCTCCGGGGCTGCGCAGCCCCAAGTCTCAGGTTTCACTTTCAACACCTAGTCACATCTGGAACACCGCTGCCATCACTGGGCATGGATACAGGGAGGCTTGAGAAGCATACAACCTCAAGACTAGTGATTGTTTTGGCAACCACGAAGGCACCTCTCCGGAGGTGATTCACGGTTTTCCATCTTGGCTGGGAAGAACGGCAGCCGGTTCTGAAATGGCGCCTCCCCACAAATCCCCCAATCTGGTAAAACGAGGCAGGTTGTTTCCAAAGGAGATGTTGAGGTGGGTTTTTTTTTTCTGCTATCGTGTTCGATCCGGAGCTGGCGAATTACTATAGAGCCGCATCGCTTTGCGACAGATGAGAGCGAACCAGTACATCTGGGGCGCAATCAGGAAGGCGTTGGCCACATTGCAATGCAGAGGGATGTGAAAGGGCACCTTGTAAATAGGAATATTCATCTGTTGCCCGTAAGCCCAGTACATGTATGGGAAAAGGAGGATCCGGCAGAGGAAGAACGTAACCAAGATGAGGATCCCGTTGATCTTATGCAGGAGGGAATCTTGCATTTTCAGCTGTAAAAACCCCCCCGCAAAAAAAAAAAGAAAATATTGAGAGAGTTAAAGGAGAGGCAGGAGATGGCGCACAAATAAGAAGATCAAAGCTGGGAAAAATTCTAGCAGTTGTTCTTTTAATTTCTGCATCAGGTAAGAAGTACCTGTTCCGTTTCTGTACGATTTGCGTTCCTCCCTTTTCAGTCTTAGTACAGGTAGTCCTCAACTTACGACCCCAGTGGAGCCGAAAATTTCTGTTGCTCAGCGAGCAGGCGCTAAGTGAATTTTGTTCCATTTTACAACCTTTCTTGCCACTGTCTTTTTTAAAATTTTTATTGAACAAAAAAGAAAAAAAAAGCATTTGAAAACAATGTTTGTGGTGTAATCATCCTGACACACCTAGTTGTCTTACATCGCTAATTCATATGAAGAATAACACATATTTACATACTATATACATAATATATAATATATAGGTGAACATCAGTCATTTTTAATCATCCCGATCCTTCCTTTTTTCCAACCAGTAGTAAAACTTTTCCCATATTTTATAGTGTTCAGATTCGTCTTTATTTTTTAATTCTTGCATCAATTTGTCCAGTTCTGCGCATGTCCATATTTTTCTAATTATCTCTATTTTGTCTGGAATTTCCTTACATTTCCATTTTTGGGCATAAACTAATCTTGCAGCTGTAATTACATGTATGATTAGATATATTAGATCTTTGTTATATCTCTCTAAATTGATTCCCAATAAGCAAAATTCCGGTTTATATTCTACTTTAGTTTTACACGTCTCTTCTAACCAGCTCTGGATTTTATGCCAAAAATTTTGGACTTTCCTACAAGTCCCCTGTACGCGATAATATGGTCCATTTTCCTTAGCGCATTTCCAACATATAAGGGATAAATCTGGGTACATTTTAGCCAATTTTGTTGGATCTTGCCACTGTTGTTAAGTGAATCAATGCGGTTGTTAAGCGAAACTGGCTTCCCCATGGATTTTGCCGGTCAGAAAGTTGGAAAAAGGGATTGCACAACCTTGGGACACTGCAACGGGGAAGGGAGGAAGAGGGAGAGAGAGAAGGAGAGAGGGGGAGAAACAGAAAAAGAGGAAGAGAAGGGGGGAGAGGAAGAGAGGAGGAGGGAAGGAGAGGGAGGGAGGGGAGAGGGACAGAGTGGGGGGAGAGAGGAACAGAGGAAGGGAAGAGAAGAGAGGGAGGGGGAGAAAGAGGAAGGGGGAGAAAGGAAGATAAAGGGAGGGAGGAAGAAGGAGGGGAAGGAAGGAGAGAGGGAGGGGATGGGAGGAGGACAGAATGGGGGAGAGGGGGGGAGAGGAAGAGAAAGGGGGAGAGGGAGGGAGAGGGAGGGAGGGGGGAAGAGAGGGGGAGAGGGAGGGAATCAATAGGAGTCAGTTGCGTCTGAATTTCATTCAACTCTAGGGACGCTGCGATGGTCGTAACTGTGAAAAACAGTCACAAGTCACTTTTTTCAATGCTGTTGTAAGTGCGAAAGGTCGCTAAATGAACTGTTGTAAGTCAAGGACTACCTGTTGGGGGGCTTCAGACATTCTACCATAGGTAGTCCTCGACTTGTGACCATAACTGAGCTCAAATTTTCCACTGCTAAGCGAGGAAGTTTTTAAGTGAGTTGCGCCTCATTTTGTGACCATTTTTTTTTTGCCACAGCGGTTAAGCAAACGGCTAGGAGTTGTCGAGTGACCACCCTCTGTAATGTTCCCTGCCAGCTTTCCAACCAGGACAGCCAATGCGGGGGGGAATCCAGGTTCCCTTAACGGCTGCACGATTCACTTAACAACCTCAGCGATTCGCTTAACAACCATAGCAAAAAAAAAAAAAAGAGAGAGAGTCGTAGCACGGGGCAAAGCTCACTTAAGAGCTCCCTTGCTGAGCCAAGGAAATTTGGGGCCGAAAGTCAAGGACTAGCAGGAGGTAGCGTTTTAATTTGTAAGCCGCCCAGAGTCGCTTTGCAAGGTGAGGTGGGTCGGCATCTAAAGATAATTAATAATAATTAATAATTAATAATAAAAAGATTTGGAGGTCCCGGGTCCGAAATGCTCACCTGCATCAGGGTCTTCCCCAGTGATACGAACGGGGTGCTAAGCTCGGCCGTGAAGATGCAGCCCACGAAAAAATCTCCTCGTTCACCTCGCAGATGCTGGAGAGAGAAAGAGGGAGACGGAGGGAGGGGGAGGAAGAGGGGAGAGGGAGAGAGAGAAAGGAAGAGCGGGAGAGAGGGCAGAAGAGAGGGGGCGGGAGCAGGAGGGAGGGGGAGGGAGAAAGAGGGAGGGAGGGAGAAGGAGAGAAAGGCAGACAGAGAGGAAGAGAAGGGGAGAGAGGAAGAGGGGGTGGGAGAGAGAGGGAAGGAGGAAAAGGGAGAGAGAAAGGAAG